ATTTATGCAAAACTTAGGAGGTCTTTAGACCGAGCCAACTATAGTGAAAGTTGGGATGATCTTACTATTGAGAGTAAGGCTGTTTATGAATTAGCCGCAATAATTGCCGAAATCTCCCCAAATGTCAAAAACTCCCAAATGCAAAACTCTGCCAAAACTCTAATAAACAGTTAGTGTGTAACATGTCAAAACTCTGCTGATTGATTTCCAGAGGAGTTTTGGTAAGCAACCATAATTACCATGTGCAGCTGGAAGGATAAAACTCTCCAGAAATCATCTGCAATCATAAGCATGTGCAGCTGGATGAAACAAAAGACACTCACAATAACCAGAAATCATCTGTAATAAGTAAAGCATTTGGTAGCTAAAACATTAACAGGAGAACTAGTTGGTAGGTTGAGATTTCAGAAAAACATATATCATTAGACGCTAGTCAGGAAATCTAGTGTTAGGATTATCTATTTTAATCAACAACTTGGATCACACATTTACAGCATCACACTGTGAGATAATTAGTTGTTTGGGTATTTTTATTAATAATACACTAATTTACTGATCTATATTTTATTATAATTGATAAGTGCTTTTTTATACAATTGACAAAATTAATGAATAATAAAGTAATACTTCTCTTATTTTTATGTTTACAAATCACATAAGTCACATAAATATTTAATATGTTATGTCCAAGCTTTACAGGATCGGTCCTAATACCTTTGATTGATTATTATTTTGTTAGCAGAAGTAAAATATTAGGATAGAAATTTGCAGATCTATTATGATATAACTTCAGATCACCAGGTGAAAAGACCACAAAAAAATATAGTGACTTTGTGATGTAACCACACGATATTAACTACTTTATGTAAAAGTGTTTTTATTATCAAAATGTTCAATATGATGGTTTATTGGGAGTATTACAGATAACATGACTTTACATGATGTCCAAAAAATATACATAGAATGAAATACAGTGCAGATCATCTATACTCAAATTAAAAAAATTTGAAATATGGGTATATCCAATTGGTTTGAATGGGAATGACAGGTGAATACACTGGTTATATTAGAACAAGGTCTTTGCTATTACAACCTTGGAGTATATCAATATCTAAAAGTATAGGTAATTATTTATTGGATAAATTCCCATTATTTTTAATGTAGAAAAATATTCTTTTGTAGATAAATAATATTCAGAATTCAATAAATCCAAAACCAATACTATAATCCCACCAAGTCAAACATTATAAGTCTTTTAATAATTGTTGCTTACAAATTATAATAATAATATTTTATGTAGAAAATTTTGAAAAAAAAGTTAGGCATTAAAAGAAAATCAAAAAATTTGAAAATAAGGGAACAAAATTTTCCAAAAAAATAATTACCATCTTGCAAGGATTTTTTTATAAGGTAATGTTAGTAGAAGTGATTGTTCTTCAGTTCAATGTATGCATACAGAATTAATAAAAATGGCCAAAATGATGGTGAAATATCGCAAGAGTCAATTCTAAAAGTAGGATATATTCAAGGCTGGATTTCACGTTATGCTGCGCCTGTAAAGCTGAAACATCAAAACAAGTTATAAATCAAAGGGCTCCTGAATTTTATTAATTCGTAATCCGTGAAACAATTGCAAATTTTTGCCGATCATTAATATGTTTTTGTGGCGATAATAAACATTATAATTTTCAGGAGTTTTGAGAATCTGACATTACCTCACGTGACCAACGTGAGTCAAGAAAATTAC